CCCTCTCAAATAAATAAATAAATAAATAAATAAATAAAATCTTTAAAATGAGATATTTCAAATTGTAAAAAATAATAAATCAAGACAAAACAAAAATGAAAGGACTAGGAAATTATCGGACGAGAGAAAATTATTTAACAGCAATGAAAGAAACCACAAAGGATTGGGTAGTTTTCAATATATTAAAAACATGAAAAAAGTGGAAGTGACATAAACAAGAGAAGTTCAAACCAGCTGTAGAAGCCATAGTGATGAAAAAAAATTTTAACTACAAATCGATGTAAATACATGAAAAGACGTTTACTCTCACTAGTAACTAGATGCAAACTAAAACAAAGAACCCTCAGTTAAGGAATGACGACGACAAGACAAATGGGTAAGGCTGTGGTGAGGCTAACACTATCACACATGCTGGTGGGAATGAATCTTGGTGCAACTTCTGGGCAGGAAAAGGCAACACATATATGAAGTATCTTAAAAATATTCATACTCTTGAAACCAATGATTCTACTTCTAGACATGAATCTTAAGGAAACAATCTAAACTACTGCACAAAAAACCATATTAACAAAAAACTGGAAAGAATCTAAATATCCAAATAGGGAGTATTTAAGATAAAAGAAAATGATCTCTTATGTATTGAACTAAGTATTAAATAGTAATGTAAAACAGTTTACATCATCAATACCGGGAAATAAAATTGTGTCAATTAAAAAAGGCAAGCCCTAAAATTACATACACAATAGTCTTTTAACTACTCTTTAAATTTTTAACACATAGGAAAAAAAGACTGAGGGCACCTGGCTGGCTCAGTTGGTTAAGTGTCTGACTCTTTTTTTTTTAATAAATTAATTTTTATTGGTGTTCAATTTACCAACATACAGAATAACACCCAGTGCTCATCCCAAGTGTCTGACTCTTAATCTTGGCTCAGGTCTCCATCCCAGGATCATGAGCTCAAGCATCGCATTGGGCTCCACACTGGGTGTGAAGCCTATTAAAAAAACAAAAACAAAATGGAAAAAATGCATCCACTGTTAGCAGAGCTATCTCTGGATAGTAAGCTTATGGGGGACTCTTTGGGCTTTTTTGGTATCATCCAAATTCATTTAAATGAATTCATATACTTGTAAAGTCAAAAAACAAACCTAAAATAAGAAAGCCCACCAACCCCTCAACTGCTTTCCAAACTCACTGAAGTAGAAACATCGCTTTTGTTCAAAGCTCTCTACACTATATTCCCAACTGTCTTTAGTGGGTGTGCTTACTTACCCTCCTTAAGGTTCATCAAGGTGGACCCCCCATGGCTTCCAGACCATGTTCTGTACCTTCTCACTACAGTGCCTTAGCTCAGAATATCTGATCCATCTGTATCATATTTTCTACCTGGCCAAATTCAAACATTTTCCAAAGTTCATGAGAAACACCACCTTTTTTTTTCTTCAAGATTTTATTTATTTAATAGAGAAATAGAGACAGAGAGCACAAGCAGGAGGAGCAGGAGAGGGAGAGGGAGAAGCAGGCTCTCCAGTGAGAAGGGAGCCAGACTCTGGGCCCAGGACCCTAGGATCCTGATGGGATCTGAAGGCAGACGCTTCACCAACTGAGCCACCCAGGTGCCCCCAAAACACCACCTTTTCTATGAAGTTTTTTCACACTCCTTGCTAACCCAATCACCCCAACCACATGTGATTTTTTTCCTTGTCTTTGACTTCTACGGAAATGATTTTAGCACTCTTACTCCTCTTGATACAATTTGCCTGAATTCTAATAGCTCTGTTTTAACACCTCTACTAGATTGTAGTAGGTCAGGAAGAGGCTCTATCCTTCTTCACTTCTTTCTCCACTATTAACACACTGCTTCCCAGAATTAAGCACAGAATGAGTATTTGAGGAACCAAATAAACTATTGTCACAAGAGAGTAGTCTCTTGCCTTGGCCACCAGAAGGAGGAAGAGAGAACGGGAAATGCTCCTCATTTGAGACTCAGCATGGAATTTCTCACAGAAACAAGGAGGAAAAAAAGGACCATTTGTAATGCATAAAACAATTATGCACTTTTATTCCTTTTGCCATCTATCCATAATTGGTAACTTAATTTTAAGGAAACAAAAATGTGCTTGGAATTCCCAAGAACCTACCTCCAAAAGGGTTTCTGGAGTACAGCCAGTGTTTAAAGTGACATATTTGCAGATAATTATTTTCCTTCAGGAAAAACATCACATGTTTGCTCAAGTCAGCTTAAGCCTCTTTTGAAACAAAAAAATTGGTAGCGAAAATAGAAAGGGTGAAGTGAAAGACAAAGGAAGAAGGAAAGTGCAGGTTCTCTAAGCACTTGAGTTAATTTCTAAAAAGGAAACCTGAAAGGGTGAACACAAGCAGATCAAAACCACCTTTTTACCATTTTTCCTACTTTCCTACTTTGAGATGCAGTATCTCAAGAAACAAACTTTAAAGGGAGAAAGTCTTCACAGGTTTTTATTTTTCTTTCCCGAGCAAGTCTTTAATTAAATTAGTATTTACAATAGCTGTTCAGATAACCTGCTCACATGCATTCACACGTACCTGAATGTGTATATTTCAGGTCAAAACCCTCCTTATACTTAATGCATTGAGTGCTTTCCTTTGAAAGAATGCTCATCTTTATGAAACATATTGTGAGGGCTGCTCTTTGCCAGACTTTGGGGAGAGGGGTGGAGAGTCAGGACGACTCATAGTGCAGACTTGGATTAATCTCCCTATATATGTATTTAAGCATTGCTATATTGAGTATATATTGAAAACTGTGCAAGATATACAGAGGTGAGTCAGTCCCCGCCCTTAATGTCCACAGGTTGCCCCAGACCCATATACATTCTACTGGAGGAAATGAACAATAAGCAAGTAAACAAATGAACACAATAATTACAGGTTATGGAAAGAGCTGTAAAGGAGACAAAATAAACAAGACAGGGAGGCTATTTGATAATCAGTAAAGGCCTCTCAGATACATTTATGCCAAGATGGAAAAGAAAAAAAGGACCTAGCTGTGCACACTTATCTGGGCAAGAGCCTTCCAAACAAAGAGAAGTGGAAAGGTCCTAAGATAAAAACAGATTCAGTCTGTTGGAAGAACATAAAAGAAGCAGTATGGCTGGTCATGTTTTTCAAACTGTGGATCACTGCAACAAGGAGTCATAGGTTTTCAGAATAAGTATTCTTTAATGAACTTTTGCTCCAGTTATGTGTATATGTGTGAGTGTGTCCTAGTTTGCAATGTGTGATATGTTTCTTACTGTGGGCAGCGGTGAAATCTGTACTAAACAAGGAGAGTAGTTACAGATTAGGATGGAAGGGTGAGCAAGAACTACAGCATGCATGGCCTTGCATTGTAGGCCACCATAAGGAATCGAGATTTTTATTCTAAACACAATGTGATTGTATTGAAGACTTTCATGTTGGGGAGTGATATGATCTAATTCAATACAATGGTGTTGCCCAAAGATTTTCACTACAGTGAAATTCAGAAAACTAGCTCAGGCCTAGCCACTAAGACCAAGGATTTGGAGCAAATCACTTAATCTCTCTAGATCTTACTTTCTTCATTTTAAAAATGAGAAGGCTGGACCAAGATAACTTACTATCTTCTCTATTGCTAAACTTCTATAACTATATATATATATAATATATATATATATGCACACACATATATGTATACATATATACATACATACACACATATATGTATACATATATACATACATACACACATATACATATATCCTGCTTCCTTTGTTGGGCATAAGTACATGACTATTGGGAAGACGCTAGTGCATTAGGTCAAGTTTTGGGTTACTTCTTAAAATACTATACACCACGTAACTCTTAGAATTATATTTCTATAGAAAGCCATTTTAGAATTCTCTCTTTCCTGGAACCAGCTATATTATTTAAATGAGATCTCTGGGCTAAAAGTGAATCAAGTGCTTTTGCAACTCTCTAGTGCAAAGTTTGGGATGTAAAGGAAATTGACAGGGAGGATGAAAAGATTTAGTGACCAGGTTATCTGGAACACATTTCCTTATTTGTTCTAGGTCATCACTGACATTTAATCTAGGGCATTCTAAAGTTGCAGAGCCCTAAAGTTAAGATGCAGAAGCTTAACCCCATCTACAGCAACCAAAATGACTTGAGACAAAATATTCGGTGAGAGCCTACAATAGGTTAACCGCATGCTAGACAGTCAGATATGTTTTTTCAGTTAATTGTCCTAATTATTCATATTTCACAGATAAGAAACAGGGGCTTAGAAAAGACAACAAAGCTATTAAGTGGCAGGGTCAAGATTCAACATTTCACATTTATAATAAATTATCCTGCAAGTTTAAAAAAATCACTATACAAGGATTAAGCCATCAGTTTCAAGTATCTGGGACATTTGTCCAACCATATGAACACATAATGTTCAACCAATAAATCAATTCTGGACTTTGGTATAGGTGCTTTAGCTAGGTGCAGTGTGGGATGAAAGAGAACTTGTTCCAGCACTGGAAGGCCTACTCCGTGGGTAGCATACTGGGTTGTATGAAGTGGAATCAGGCAAAATATCTAAGGAATTTGTATTCCCAATTAAGTACACGTGAATAGCATTATGGCCGTTTCCAGATTCTTTTTCTCTATTGTTGCTGGTGAAAGGTCAGCAGAGAAACTGTGCACTGGACAGTGTCACCTGTGCCGTGGGCCTTGAAAGTGTCCTGCAAGTTCCATAAACTCGAGATGCTAGAAACTCACCAATTTCCAACTTACATTAACCCTTTAGGAAGCAGTGGGCGTATCACCTGCCCAATTGGAGCAGCGTGGATGGCGTGTTACGAAGAAAAGCTTGGGAACGTGGAGGGCATTATCCGTGTGAGGGGCGGAATGGTCCCTAAAGCCTTTCCCCAGAGACACCTGCAAACACCTTTGGAAAGTTAGGGACCGTCGCTGCACAGCTGCCTCAACGTCGAGAACGCGGTACCCACCTGTCACATATTCGGCTTCGAATCTCCGCCGGGTCTCAGAGATGAGCTTGGCTTTATTCTGGGCGTGATACTGAAAGGGAGACACGAAGGGACGCTTAGATACCACGCGCACCATCCCGCTTCCCTTCAGCCCAGCCCACCTGCACCTGGGCGCACGGCCCCAGGCTTCAGAGGAAGCTTCCGGGTCTGGGGGGCGGCCGGCAGCTGTGTGGTCGCCTCCTCACCTCGGCCATGGTCGCGGGCGTGGACGAGATCTCGATCGCCGTGGCCACTTGCCCACCTGTCCGAAAATCTCATCACTGGCCCCGCGGGCCGGGAGGTAGAGAGGGAAGGGCGGGAGGTGGCGACGGTCGCGTGACACCGGGAGGCGGGCGGAAGCGTCGCCGCGTTGCCCAATCCAATGTGGCCGCCTGGGTGTGGAGGCGGAACCAGGCCCCAGCCTGGCTTTCCATTAGCTTCTCGTTTGCGCTCCGTTCCCTCGACGTCCCCTGCACTGCGGACCCGCCTCCGCCTACCGCCGGATCACGGGAGCTTCCCGCGCCCAGCTCCGCCCGAGCAAGCTCCGCCCGAGCAAGCTCCGCCCGCCCTTAGCTTCACAACATTCCCCGGAGGCCCCGCCCCCTCAGCCTCCCTTGGCAACCGTCTCCCCGCAGGCGGGGCCGGCCCCGCCTCCTCTGCTCTCGACGCAGCCTCCGGCCCGGATCTCCCAGGATGCAGCGCGCGGGCGGGAGGTTTGGAGCCCCGGGACCCTGCGCCCGCCCAGGGCGTCTCGAACGTGGCGGCTCTGGGACGCAGGTCCTCGCGCGGTGAGGTAGGGCTGGCCCGTGGTCCTTTACCTGTGGCTGGCGGCGGAGCTGGCTTGACTCCCATCTTTGCGGGATAATGGGAATGGAAGCGAGCCTGCCGGAGCCTGTGTCCATCACTCTTTGGAATGGTGACTAGGTATTAAGGGCTTGCCGTGTAGAATTATTTCTCTTGAAACTTTCTTCGCCCTCGCCTCATCTTTCCCACTTGCAGTGTGAGAAACTTATCGAGGATTATAAATTTGAAATCTGTAAACTAAGGCAGTTGTATAGAAAGTTAAAAGATGTAATTAGCATCTTACAGTTTATTGATTAGGGTAGTTCTCACCCTGGGGCAATTTTGTCTCCCTGGGGACGCTTGGCAGCTTCTGGAGGGGAGGGGAGGGGAGGGGGCCGTGCTGGCATCTAGTGGGTATTGCTAAATAGCCTGCAACGCACGGCTCCTATGACAGTTATCCAGAGCCAAGTGACAGGAAGTGCTAAACTTGAGAAAGATTTAGGTTTATAAAGGCACTGGAGCAATTTTACGGTTGTCGGCTAAAATATTGAAATCGTTTTGAATTCAAGAATACAGGTTTTGTTTTGTTTTTTAATTGAGAGATACTGGGATTGCCTGGGTGGCTCAATAGGTTAAACATCTGTCTTTGGCCCAGGTCATGATCTCAGCATCCTGGGGTCCAGCCGCATAGGGCTCCTTCCTCAGCAGGGAGTCTGCTTCTCCCTCTCCCCCTCCCCCTCCTCCTGCTCGCGTGTTCTCTCTCTCTCTAATAAAACCTTAAAAAAAACTACAAAGAAATTGCAGGAAGAAAAGCCCCCAGATTTCCCCCATCCATAATCGACCATAATTGATACTTTAGAATCTTTGTCCAAGACTTTTTGATATGCTACACCTTTTTATGGGAAAAATGGACACATTGTTTGAAAATAATGGAATACATTGTTAAAAATACCATTACAGCTATGGTTAAAGTCTCCCTCTGGCTTCACTCCCCTACCCTGATTGCCTGTCTCTCTCTCCAGAATAAACACTGATCGGAATTTGCATTGAATCTTTACAGAATCTTTGCTTTTGAAATTTTGGACGAGGATGCCTGGGTTTGAATCCTGGCTCTGTCACTTCCTATTTTTAGGCCTTTGAGAAGATCCTTAAACTCCATGCCTCAGTTTCCCCATCTGTAGAATGAGATACTGTTGCCTACAGCATAATAATGTACTGCGTAATAAATGAGTCCAAAGTGCTTAGAATAGTACCTGGTCGGAGAAGCACTCAGGGAATGTAGCCTTTGTAGGTAAACAGAAAATATGTAATGTTGTTTTAAGTGTTTTGATTTAGATAAATGTACTGGAGAATACATTTTTCTGCAACTTAATTTTTTTCCATTTGATTTTTGAGATTTGGCCATAGTGGTATGCATACATCTAATTTGTTTCTTTTAACTATACTATGATATTCCATCTGTATTTATTCATTCCCCTACTGATGGTCATTGAAGTTTTTACTTTTCTTACTATCACAAATAGCACAGTAACCATTCTAGACCAATGTCTTTGTCCATTATTATGTAGGATTATTTCTCTGGGTTCATATCTAGAAATGAAATTGCTGGATATATGTATTTCAGGTGCCTGCCAAATTGCCTTCCAAAGTTACCTCTCCCTTTAATTACGAGCTCATAATTATCTCCTAATTGATGGCTTTGTCACCATTCTCACCTCACCCCATCTTTAACACTGTCACTAGGATCTTTTATAATTCAGAAGTACAATCTTGTGATTTCTATTTTTGCAATCTTTCAGGGGTGTATCCTTGCTTAGAGAAAGTTAGAAGTCCTTAGGATGACATCAAAAACCTTTAACTTAGTCTTTCCTAACTCTCTTAGTGAATCACCATTCCCCAACATTCACCTACATTTCAGATACACTAAGTGTTGTTGGAAAAGGGAAAATGGAGCTTGATTATGGGTAGGCCCTAACAAATGATTTCCAGTTACGTAGGTAGAAAAACATTTTAAAAGCAGACTTATTCTGTAGCCAAGTTAACTTACTTAGGTAAATAATGTTCTGTATGTTGTGAGAAGTACCTATATCGGTAATATGCTTATAAAATTATGTTTAATATTATTATTTGAAGTTTTTAGTTGAGGGTCTTAATTCTACCTTTTTTCCAAAGATACTCTCTATTGGTCACACTTGATACAGTTTCTTAGCCATATTTTTTAGATTTTATCTGCAGATAATGTAGTGCTCTTTTAGGATCTTCCTCAACCAGATAGGTAGTTTATATGAAGAGTTCTGAAATTTATGACACCCAGAGGAGTTTATTAGCATTTGAAAGGAACACTGTTTATTTGATAGGAAGATGATAGGAAAGAGTGGATGAGGGTGATCATTTATTGCTAACCTACTATTATTTGTTAGCATGTATTATTTCCCTACTATACTCATCTGTTTTCTTTTTATGCACAAAATACATACAGTCAACTTTGATATATGGTAATACAGAACAGGAAAAGCTCAAATTGATTATGTAGTATTTTATAAATAATCTGTTTCCAACCCCCTCCCCACCCCATTACCTGCAATAGGAAGTAAAGCTTAACTGGTTTAAGTTATGTTTTTTTTTTTTTCTGTTGTAAAGGTGTAAGCCACAACAGTGTAAGCCACTGTTGTAAGGATAAGTAAAAAGTCAGATGACCAATAGGCTGGAATAGTAAGCCTGGTGCCCTGATAATCAGGATATGATTAATCAGAGCTTGTTTATATTGGTTTTAGAACCCATAAATTGATCTTAGTTTCATTTGTTTCCATATTATTTCTATCTAAAAAAAGAATATTACCATTTATTCTGTAGGCTTAAAGATTTGTTTTATGACATATGCTAAGAACTCTTCTCTTAAAACAGATGTTTTATCAGTATAAAATAAAATATACACAGGTATGCAAATTCAATAAGCCTTAAGATTATAGAAAGTTTGAGGGAAAAATTTATCTTCATAAATATATTAATGACTTCTACTTCTAATTTTTAACTCCAAAGGTGATCAATTTTAAATAACTTACATTTAAAATGTGCCTGGAAAAAAAAATGTGCCTGGTTTTGTAGTATTTAAAAATAAAGACCTTTCATATAACAGTCATTTAAATCTATTGGAATCTAAACTCATGAGAATAAGTTTGTTTTTTGCCTAGAGCTCACACTAAAAGCATGTTGGGTTAGGATTATATCAGGGCTTTGAATGCCACGATTCAAACTTTATAGCAGTGGTTTGCGATCTTTTGTCTCTGTGTCATTCATATGTTCAATTCAGCTTTTAGCGTCTATCTTTCTAGGAAGTAATTCAGGGATCATAGATGTATTGAGAAGGGGGAGAGGGTACATGCAAGGTTTTTGAGGTAGGGGACAGGTACCAGATCTGAGGGGAGAGAGACTAGAGTAAGGAAGATCAGTTTAAGAAGCTTTTGATACTCAGGATCTCTCTCCAAGAGGCTAAGAGCTTTTGATACTCAGGATCTCTCTCCAAGAGGCTGAATCATCTGAAGGCTTGACTGGTGCTGAAAGATCTGATCCTAAGAAGGCTCACTCACATGGCTTTGGCAAAAGGCCCCAGTCACTTGGTGATTGTTGGCAGGAAGCCATAGTTCCTTGCTGTATGCATATTTTACGGGGCTGCCTGAATATCTCTTAATAATATGGCAGATGGCTTTCCACATTGCAGGTGATCCAAGGAGCAAGTCAACAAGGAAGCCATAATACTCTGTGACCCAGTCTCAGAAGTCTCACGTCCCTTCTGCCATATTCTGTTGGTTAGAAGTGAATCATAATGACCAGCCCTCACCCAAAGACAGAATTAAGTGCCACTTCTTGATGGAAGGAATTTCAAAGAATTTGTTAACTTCATTTAAAACTACAACAAATGATGTATTTGGAAATCAGGCAATAAGCCACAGCATCTCCAATTTGAAAGTAGATGCTGACTAATCGAGTCTGCATTTTAATTGAATTGCCTCTAAATTAAAGTCATTTCTACGAAATGCTACATTAAGTTAAATTTGTAGATGATTCAGTGATAAGTTTTTCTAATTGGACTCTTGGTAGATTTTTATAAGAAAAGAACAAGACCTAAGCCTTTGCAGTTTGTTTTTCATTCAACAGAGGAAAGCATTATTACCTAATGGCAAATGACCTAGTTTTATTTCTGAAGTAGTTGAATTTCCTGGTGTAAATGATCCACAGTAGGAGAAAAGAAAGAGTATGAGTTAGTTACTTATAGTGGAAAGGGACCTTTCAGCATTCACAAACTGCTAAGTATGTGACTATTCTGAGGTTTCAAAGGTTAGGTACTACATAAACCAGAGCTGGCCATGATGATCATGATGATAATGACAAGGGTAGTAGCTAACCTTTATCGAGCACTTTCTGTGTGCCAGGTTCTATTTTAAGTGGTTTATGTTAGTTAATTTCAGTGCCTTGTGGGGTTATACTGTTATTATATCCCATTATATGTGGGTATGAGGCACAGAGGGATTAAATAACTTGCCCGAAATCATTTTTCTATTAAAAGGCAGAGAAGGCTCACCATTCACATGGTTCCTTAGGCTCTCCAACCATGTGCAGTTCATAGCATATGCTGAGATTTCGGTAGCTGTTAAAAGAGTGACTCTGCATGTATAGCCACTGAGTAGAAATCAGCCTCTTTCTCTTATATGTGTGTTCACTGTAAGGGGTGTTCCTTTGTTGTTGTAATTTTATTTTGCAGTTAGATATGGCATGTATTCTTTTTTAAACTTTATTTTTACTATTGAAGTATAATTGACATGTTACATGTTTCAGGTGTGCAGCATATTGATTCAACAATTCTATACATTATTCAGTGCTCACCATGGTAAGTATAGTTACCATACACCTTTATTATAATATTATGGACTACATTCCTTGCACTGTACTTTTCATCTCCATGAATTATTTATAAGTGGAAGTATGTACTTCTTAATATCCTTCATCTATTTTGCCCGTTTCCCCACTAACCTCTTCTCTGACGGATTATGCTCTGTATTTAAGAGTTGGGTTTTTTTGTTTGTTCATGTTGTCTTTTAGATTCCATGTGTAAGTGGAAACCTATAACATTTATTTTTCTCTTATTTCACTTTATATAATGTCCTATAGGTCCCAGGTGTCTATCAATAGATGAATGGATAAAGATGTGGGGTGTGTGTGTGTGTATGTATGTATGTATGTATGTGAATATTTAAAATGGAATATTACTGAGACAAAAAAGAATGAGATCTTGCCATTTTTGATGCCATGGGTGTTCCTTTGTTTTTCATTCTACTTTACTATTTCTCTCAGGTTGCCTTGCTTATAACCAGAGTTCAGTGTAAGGGGATATATGCCTGGACAGTGTGGTAGTTAAAAGTGTTGGCTTAGGAATCAAAGGGCCCCTCTTCCAAATCGAGTGCCCCTGTCAATTAGTGTTAATAACCTTGGAAAAATTTATGGCCTTTGTTAAAATAAGAAAGTTTTCTCAGTTGGAAGATGTGATAATAAAAGTGCTTACTTTAAAAGAACAATTGTAAAGATTAAATGAAATTATGTGCTGTGCCTGGCCTATAAGCCTGAAAAACTGATAGCTATTATTTACTTCTTGTGTTCATTATAACGTTACTAATTCTCTCGTTTTTTGTACTTGGAATAGGAATAGTGACTTCCTTAAGGTCCTAACGCTGCACTGCTTTTACAAAGTAAGATTTAAAATTTATTTCTATTACTCCTATGGAGATTCTTTTAAGCCATGGTATAGAATCTCTTATTTTTCTTTCTGGGCTTTTATTTTGGTAATAGAGTCTGTATGAGTTCCTGTTTCAGGAAAGCATGATCTCAAGTGCCTGGCTGTGGTAGCAGTCAATTTGAGTCACTGACTGATTACTGAATTGTCACTATAGAGGGGGTAAGGCTGAGAGGAAAAAACCAGGGTTGAGTCAACAGGGTAGAAAATTGGGGGGAAAAGAGAAAATGGGAAAACCAGATTAAGTTGGTAGGTTTGAGAGAGAGACATAATTAGAACCCTTAAGTAATCCCCTGAACCAGAAAGAACGCCTTTAGGCACTTTCAATAGACCACCCACAGTTTTTAATAGATGCTGTTAACACATTCGGTTATCTTATGTGATATGGTTATTTGCATTGTTTGCAAACTGTGTCTTTTAACTGTACAGAAATGATATTTGGGATGTGTTTTTTTTTTGATAAGTGTAACATTGTTAAGATAGCATAAAAAACTTAAAAATGTTCATAAAATTTATAATTTATGTGATAGTTTTTAAAGAGAAATGTGTTTTCTTTTCAACTGCCTACTTGATGGTAATTTTCCTCATTACATTTTTAGGTTTAAAAGCATCAGCTGCGGGATGCCTTAGTGGCTCAGTGGTTGAGTGTCTGCCTTTGGCTCAGGGCATGGTCCTGGAGTCACAAGATCGAGTCCCACATCGGGCTTCCTGCTTGGACCCTGCTTCTCCCTCTGCCTATGTCTCTGCCTCTCTCTCTCTCTCATGAATAAATTTTAAAAAATCTTTTAAAAAAATCATCAACTGCAATCAATTTGCATTCGAAAATTGGACCAAAAAACAAAAAAAAAGAAAATTGGACCAACACAAAGACTTGATATTGTGGAATGACTAGCAAACAAGCAATGTCATTTGACAGACAAGAAATGCTCATGAGTTATAATGGGGAAGTCCTTATTTTTCGATTGTCTAAAGGAGATTTTGCAAGTAAAGGGCTTGCAAAAATACCCGTATTACATGTCAGGAGAATGGTATTTGACAGAGGAACAAGAACATTTGTTCAGAAGTCTACTGGATTCCTTATGCTAAAAGAAGAAAACTCTCATTTAAAAATTATGTGTTGCAACTGTGTGTCAGATTACAGAACTGGAATCAATCTCCCTTGTATTATGATACAATGCAATAAGAATAATGTCTTCAAATATTTTCTTCTATTTCTTCACAGAACCAATAAATTTGAAAAGCGATTGAGTTTTAAACTAAGGCATGAGTTGAAGGATGGTGTAAGAGTCCTTGATGGCCCTTTAGTTTTATGGAGACACGTGAAGACATTCTACTGTATCTCTTCCCAAACCAGCAGAATTATTACTGTGTCTGTTAATATTGCCTCTGTTGAGTGGGCAGGGGAGATTGAAAATCTAGGTATGGTTTTATTAGGAGCAAAGGCAAGTTTTTTATCTGAGGAGGACTGCACCAAAAAGCTTTCAAAATCAGATTATGAAATTTGGAATACCAAATTTTGTGTATACTCCCTTGAAAATGAAGAAATAATAAGTGATACATACATTATCCCTCCTGCTTATAGCAGTGTAGTAACTTATGTGCATGTCTGTGCAACTAAGATTGTCGACAACCAGTTAAGAATGTCTGTGATTGCCCTTACTCGGAAGAATCAGCTGATTTCATTTCAAGATGGGACTCCTAAAAGTATTTGTCAGCTTCCATTTGGAGATCCTTGTGCAGTTCAACTTATGAATTCAGGCAGAGGAGGAGACCTTTTCATCGTATCCTTTAGGTCCAGTGATGCTTGTGCCATTTGGAAAAAGAACTTTCAGGTATAGTACTTATAATCATTCAAATGGTGTAGCCTTAGACCTATTTAGGATTTATATGTTTCAGAGAGTTTATCCTGGAGTCTTATTATCCAAATCAATTTTTAGTGCTGCACTTATAATCATATATTGCATCATTCTTATTTCTTAAAGTTATCTGAATACTACCTGATAAAGGTTTTGCCTTGCCGTTTTGAGTCATAAAACCTTTGGGTTGTTTGGAAATATATAAATATATAGCTACAATTATTATATATTTATTTGTCTTTTAATATAACTATTTCTAATTTTTTAAAAATTTTATTTAGTTAGAGTGTGAGCAGGGGGAAGAACAGAGGGAGGGCGAGAGGGAATCTCAAGCAGACTCTGCACTGAGTATGGAGTCTGATGCTGGGCTCAATCTCTCTGGCCCTGAAATCATGACCTGAGCCTAAATCAAGAGCTGGACCCTTAGCTGAGTGAGCCACCCATTTTTTTTAGGTGAATTGTTACTTTGTGTATGTGTATTTCTGTTTGTGTGTGTGAAAATGTCAGGTTGAAATTGTGTTTTATCTCAGAGTCATGAGATTGAGTTCTATGTCTAACTCTGCACTGTGTGCAGAGCCTGCTTAAGATTCTCTCTTTTCCTCCCACTGCCGCTCCGTGTGCACTCATGCTGCTCGCTCTCAAATAAATAAATTTAAAATTTCCAAAGAATAGTAATTTGAAAGTACCCTATTTTATTTTGAAAGCAATCTTTTAAAAGCATATTGTGCTTTTATTTGAAGGTTATTTGGAAGGTAACATTTTCTGCCTTTCTCTACTCTCTTTTCCTTTCCAGAAGTGGTAGCAGGGAAACATCTAGTATAGCCTATAATTGTTATTGGGGTCAGGGTAATGGAAAGAGCACACTAAGCCTGGGTTTGACTCCCAACTGAGCCACTTACTAGTTTTACCTTAAGGAATATGTTTAATTTTGTGAACTCATTTTCTGTCTTTATGAAATTGGGATCATCCTACCTCTGAGACGAGAGAATGAAAGAAAATGACATTGTAAAGTGTCTTGCACAGTGCTTGGCACACAGGGGAAGCTCAGTAAGTAGTTATTATGTTATACGAGGACTAGGGCTATCATCACGGACTTGCACCTACCTGAGGTCCCTTATTCACCTGGATAAGGAAAAACTATTCTTTTGTGCCTCATTAATTCAGTGTAATATAGTTCTCATACACTTTAAGTGGGTCCCCTGTTTGGACCCTGTAGAACTCTGCCAATAACACATTACCCAAAGAGGGAGACTATGCCACTCTGAGTGAGCATGTAAACTGTTGGCTGGCCTTCCTGCCTTGAAATTGTGTTCTAGGGTTCTTTCTCTACAAAGGACCATCATCCTTTGCACAAGTTGCTTACCTAAGTCCCTACTGACTTACCTCTTAAGCTACTTCTTCAAGATTTCTGTATGTCTAAGCAGTTTTCAAATGCCCTGTATTGAAAACTCTGGAATTACGCCCTGATATCCACAAATTAAGTGCTCATAAATTGCTTTGGTAATCATGCCACTCTGGGAATTTTGTAGCTCTTGCCTTTGCTTTACCTTGGTGTTATATTTATATTCATCTGCTTTTAAAAAATATATCTTAGGGTAAAATATGCAATTACTTTAAAAACAGGAATAAAAGCTAAGAATATACAAATAAAGAGGGAGGAGCGATGACTGTGTCAGAAAACCTGGGTTAAGGGAAGTGATTGCATTTGAACAATTATACTTAGTTTAGTAGTTAGGACAAAGAAAGCAAATATAGCAGATTTTACAACTGCATGGAAATATACTATCATACTATTCCTCCATTTCCACCCTCTTTCTTTCAGGTTGCTGCTAAGTGGGAAAAAATTAGCTCAGTACTGATAGATGACTTTCTAGGACTTGGAAGTGAACAAGTACTGCTACTTTTTCAGGACTCCTTGAATTCAGGTTGCTTGAGTTCATTTATAATAACAGATCTTGGCGACATAAACTATTCAGTAAGTTCTGTATACTTTTTATATATTACTTTAAGAACCATCTTAGGAAGTTGGAACACTTTAAAGCTATTGACCCACTGTTTCAGTATTTGTAATTTCTTACAGTAAACATTTTAAACTCTTAAAATACATAGATTGAATTTTTGAAATTATACATTGAATCTCCTTTCAATAAATATTACACAAAGTGACTATGCTTTTTGATGTAAATTTGGAGTGTAGTGATAGTAACACTTTAACTTTATTGTTGCTTCTGAAAATCACGTTTTATACTAGTAAACATAACATTGGACTAATTAAGGAATAAAATAAAATGAACCTGCTTTATTAAAAGAAGTAACAGTTCATAATATCTTAAGATCTTGGGCAGAAGGGAAATAATACCCCTGAAGCTTCAGATCTCCATAAGATATCTGAGTCTCAGTAATTTTTTGTAGTTACGAGAAATGATGGGGAAAATACATATTTTTTGTCTCTTATATAACAGTGTGTAACATGGAAAACTGCCCTTTGGATAAACTTTAATTGTATTTTGTTAATCTTATGAATTTTCAGTTTATTTCAAAATCTCAGTTTTAGTATATTTTTTTCTTAGAGTGAAACATTGGATTGCGATGAAGATGACTTATTTGAAGACAAAGAACAGAATTGTTATTTGATGATTCCACCTCTGGAAAGAAGATTGAAAGTTAGTGTCTATGTTTGCTTTTTGTTTTTGCTTTTTTTGGGTTAGTGCTCAGTGTTTGGGAAAATGATATTTCAAAGTATCTTTGCCTTTTTAGTACCTCTAAAAATTATTGTGACATTATTTATAAATGTATTATCTAAAAATGATACTTTTTACAATAGGACTGTGAATTTAGTGAGTCATAAGATAAAATATATGAAGTTCACTTTTGAAAACACATTTTTTCTGGTCTTAGGGATCAGTATACCACAATATCTCTTTTACTTTTTTATTTTATTATTTTTTAAAGATTTTATTTATTTATTCATGATAGTCACACAGAGAGAGACAGAGAGGCAGAGACACAGGCAGAGGGAGAAGCAGGCTCCATGCAGGGAGCCTGACGTGGGATTCGACCCCGGGTCTCCAGGATTGCGCCCCGGGCCAAAGGCAGGCGCCAAACTGCTGCACCACCCAGGGATCCCACAATATCTCTTTTAAAGGAGCATCAAATATGATGATTCATAACATGTTCCAAAAATGAACAATTAGCCCTCAAATTTTCAATATAAAGCTCTCTGAAAGAGAGTGTTTTTTTTTCCAAATGTATAAAGGTAATGCATATTCCCTCTAAAATACTTGGACTATACAAAGAAATATTAAAAAGAGACTAATAATTACCTAGGAGTCCACTACTGAGATATAACCCATTTTAACACTTTGGCATGTGTATTCTTGTAGATTTTTTTAAATGAATATATGCAAATTTATGTAGAAATGTGATAGGATGCATATTCTTTTGTAACCTACCTTTTTTCATTCATAAAATTTTTAAATATTCCAAAAAGTTCAGAGAATAGTACTGTAGTTATTTCTAGTCCTTATGTGCATGCAACTATTTGTACTTTTAAAAAAATTCTATTTCCCTCATCTGTACTTGTGAGTGTGTTTGCATATGTGTATGTACATTTTTGTAGGACCATTTGAAACTTGCAAATACTATAACTTCTATGTCTTTCAGCAGGGATTGCCTAAAATAAGGATATTCTCCTATGTAAACATATCATACTATTATTACAGTTAGAAAATTAATAATAATCTCTTAATCTTATTTACTATTCATTCCATATTCAGATGTCTTTTTTTTTTTTTAAAGATTCCATTCATTTATTTGACAGAGAAGGAGAGCACACTCCGGGGGAGTAGCAGGTGGAGGGAGAGGGAGAAGCAGGCTCCCTACGGAGCAAGGAGCCCAATGCAGGGCCCAACTCCAGGACCCTGGGATCATGACCTGAGCCGAAGGCATCTGCCTAACCGATGGAGCCACCCAGATACCCCTCAGATCTCTTTAATTGCCACAAAAATATTTTTTATAGGTGCTTTTTTTCAGGATATGGTCAAAGTTTACATTTGCACTTGATTATTATATGTTATTGGTCTTTTTATCTAGAGTAATGCCCCTCCCCACTTTCTTATAATGATACTAATGAGGAGGCCAGGCCAGTTTTTCTTCCTTTTGGATTTGTCTGTTTCCTTGTGTTGTCATTTAGCTTTTTCCTCTACCACTGGCAAACTTTTTTTGTAAGGAGCCAGATAGTAAATATTTGTACTTTGTAGGCTCTTTAAAATTTTTTTTGCAACTATATTAATTATTAAAGTAAATTTACTAAATGCTTATTGAATGCGGATATGAATGTGGGCAATAGAGAATAAAATATTGTAGTGGGCATAGAACCATAAAGGAAAAGATTGATTAAAAATTTTTGTGCTCTGAACAAAGTAAAATATATAGAGACAGATTATTTAGATAGAAATTGTAAAAAGTGACAAAACATGATTTTTCTTAATGTGAATATTCATTCTGAAACAGTATTCTTGAGAATGTAAAGTCTCCCAACCTCTTCAGAAGGAAAATTATTATTGCTATTAAAATGTGAATTGGACATATCTTTTTACTCTCACAGTTTTACTTCTAGGAATCTATTCTAAGGATATACTTGTAGAATAAACAAAGATGATTTTATGGGAATGTTTATATAGTATTTATAGACAATAAAATTCAGTCATTCTAAATATATATCATTAGGAGTTTGGTAGATCAGTTATAATATACTTGAACTATGGAATACTATGTAGCTGTCAAAAATAAGGTAGGTCTTTTTTTTAAGGTAGGTCTTTATACTAATTTAGAAATGATGCCAAAATAATTTATGAGAGCATGATTTTTAGAAATATCACCTCATTTATTTGGACCAACTCTTCTGATAAAAACAAGTTAAAATCATATTTGAAATATGTTCTTAAAATCTCCCTAAAAGCTTCGGGGCACCTGGGTGGCTCGGCCAGGTAAGTGTCTTTCTTTGGCTCAGATCATGATCTCAGAGTACTGAGATCAAGCCTCGCATCAGGCTCCCTGCTCTACTGGGAGCCTGCTCCTGCCTCTCCCTCTGCCTGCCTCCCCCGCTGCTTGTGTTCTCTCTCATTCTTTGTCAAATAAATAAATAAAATCTTAAAGGAAAAGTCTCCCTAACAGCTTAAAAAAGCTGAAAATATAAAAATAAATTATCAGGCCAAACTGTAAAGGCTGGAACCCAGAGAGAACCCAGAGAAACTGATGCTACTTTTGCCTTGGGAGCATTTGTGTTTAACCTAAAGCAGTAGTACTCTAGACAGCTGACAGAAAGAAACATAAATTCCTCTCTCAAAATACATATTTTATCCTAGGCTTCTTATAAATCTCACAGGCAATTTTTCAGAGAAAATGAACAACTCACAGATTAAGCACATAAAGAAATAAGGCATCATAAGCAATTATTCACAGGAAATAACCAAATAGCATGTCTATGAACTAAAAATACATTGAAATAAAAAGTCTCATCAGAGGAGTTTAAGAGTTGACTGAAAGAGATGCAGAGCAAAGAAGCAAACCAAACTGTGTTAGAAAAAATTACTCAGAAGGCAGTATAGACATAGAATGAAAATAAACACACAGAGAGGGCAGGAGCATATGGAAGTGGTGAATAAGGGATAGTTGGATGTCCATTTTGTTTCACGTATCCACATGTTATCACTAGTTCTCAATTTAGATAAAAATACTTCCAAGTGTTAGAAGGCCTTTTGTTTTATTTTTATTTCATTTTTTAAGATTTTATTTATTTACTTTAGAGAGAGGGAGCTTGAGCCGGGTGGGAGGGGCAGGGGAAGAGGTATAAGCAGACTCTCCACTGAGCAGGGAGCCTGACATGGGGCTTGATCCCAGGAGCCCTGGATCATGACCTGGGCCAAAGGCCGATGCTTAACCAATTGAGGTATTCAGGTGCCCCTGGAAGGCCGTTTAGAGATGAACAAGTCTACACTCTCTCCCCCATTTTACATATGAGGAAACAAATAGCCAGAAAGGTTAAGTGACAGGCAGAGCTAGAACCAGTGTCTGTTTCACTGTTCTTTCCCCAACGGAATTTATTTTCCAACTGGTTGGAACCAGTTGGAGGGGAAAAGAGGAAACCAGGATCTTGGAGAAACTTGTACATGTGTACAGAATATTCACAGCAGCAATGTTTGTAATAGTCCATGCATGTCTGGACATAACCCAGATGCTCCTCAGTAGGAAAATGGAGAAGCGAGCTGGTATGGTCATATGATGGAATACTACAGAGCAATGAAAGTCACAGCTGACAGCTACTAGTGACAGATGAGATGACTCTAAAACCTAGCACATACAGAATGACTCTATTCATAAAAGGTTCAAGAACAAAACACAAAAAAAGTAAAAATATTCTTTAGGACATACAATGATAGTAATATTATGAAGACGAACAAGGAAGTTACCTTAAAAGGCCGGGGTAGTGTTGCCTCCATTAGAAAAAGAGAGGTTCGTGACCGAGCAGCACCCATAGACAGTAGACTGCATATGGTTACTTGGGTGTTGACTTCATTACTAGTTTATAGACTGTTTTTGTATTATGTCCTCTTCTGTATATATGAGAGAGATCCCAGTAAAAAGACCAACAAAGTAAGATTTGGTGTCCTGCAGTGCAGTATGCTCCTGTATTTGGTTTGGGATAGGTATTATTTGTTTGTAGAGAAAGAAAGCATTCCTTAATAGAAAATTTCTGGAAAGGTAAACAATCTATTGGCTCTGCAAATGGGATTGAGAGTCTAGAAAGAGAAGTTGAGGAGTATTTTCATGCTGTTTAAATATTTTGCCATGTGGTTATTTTTAATGTATAACAAAACTTCACAACATGGAACATTTAAGTAGACTAGTGATTCACCATTTAGTCCTGGAGTGGGGTGAGGAGCGTTTTGAGGAGAGTAGGAAAGAGAGAACACGGATAATTTTTGAGGGTGCCTTCATTGACAGTGTGCCCACATATCCCTCTCTTCTACTCCCTACCCCTCCAGCATTCTCCCATTGGGCTTTCCCCCTCTCATGTGTACAGCTCCCTTTCACAAATTACTCAGCAAATGAGTGTGAATAATGTGGAGCCCACAGAAATAGGTCAACAGATGAAGTTTGAAAATATTAGCTAGACATTTTACATATTTTGTGCAATTGAAGTAAGGTATAATTTAGTCTTCACTTTCCAACTTCTGTTCACCAATACAAAGGAATTTACCTGACTTAAACTGTAATTTGAAAGAAAGGGATTGAAAAATAGGATGCATTTTGTGTTTTCAATCTAGAAAAGATGTTAGATTAAGAGCTGGATTAATACTTAAACAGTCTCAGATATCCATCTGAAATGAACTGCTTCTTGTCAGTTCAATGACATGGCTTTATATTTTCAGTAGCAAAATACATTTCATGAATGTTTCATCCTTAATAGTGAAATCTGTTTATCTGGTATAATAAAAGGAATGGATTACTCTCTGCCCAGCTTAGAGCAAAATTTTGTTTATTTCTTATAGTTAAGAGTCCACCCAGACACTGAGTTTATTAGCATAAAAATAAACTTGTGACAGTTTGGGTTTGGGGGCTATGTGTTATCTTTAACATTTGCTATAGATGTTATATGAACAGGATTTCAAATAGTATCAAGTTAAAAGTGACCATTTCTACTCATAGTGATTTCTTTGCTTTTGGAAGCAGAAATTATTTCAACAGCAAGAAAAATAGTTTTCCTGTGGAGTGTTGGTTGGCCTTGATTTTTATTCATAGTGATTAGACATCCATATTCGTATCAATTGATTACTTAATTCAGTGGTGAAATGCGTGCTCATACATTGGCATTCTCGGGTTTGATACATAAACTATTGTAGTTACTTGCTGTATTATTTTCCTTTATAATTACTTAAAATTTATAAATAAAGTAGTTTTGCTCTGAGAAGTATTTTCTGCTTTTCTATGGAAAAATGAATTAATAAGCAAATTTGGTGAAAATACGTTCTGAATTAACAATATTGTCAGGTTTCATTTAAAACGTCTCTGGCAATGGTTTTTCTTTCTACTTTACAGGTTGGTTTGGCTTCTGTTCAGGAATTGAAGCAGCATCTCTTGGTTAAGGAAAAAATTATTTCAAAATCTTACAAAACTTTAATAAACCTGGTTCAAGGGAAAGATGATAGTACATCATCTACAAGTGCAGAGAAGGTAAAATTAATCATGTGACCATTTTATCATTTTTATGAATTGGAAATCTACAAGCTATTAAAGATTTACTTAAATTGGAATATTTGGATATTTTAGAAAATGCTACTCAGTGGATCCAAGAAGCAAAGTGGCAGGGATTATAATGCTGGACTTTTATGACTTGAAAATATTGGATTAATAAGGAGCCAATGTTTTACCAATTTGCAAATTATTCTATAGGATATTAAAATCTTAGTTATCGGGAACCTTGGGGGAACAAGTCGTCTTGTTCAAAAGATTTAACTATTAAACTTTTTTATTTGTATAGTTTGCATAGCAATTATCCCTAAGTGAATTATGTATTTTCTTCTTAAACAGAATATGCAGAACATTATTCAGCCTTTTATTAATGAATACATAATTTCATCCGTATTATAATTGTTCTTTTTGTTTGTTGCAGTGTTCATTTCTAAGGGTATTTATTCCTCTAGTTGAATTGCTATGCTTTTTTAGTGTTTATATCTGCTTTTTATAATTTTACGCTTATTTTCCTTGTGGTTGACCAGAATAAGAACTCTTTAGGTACCTTGCAAGTACCTTGCAAGTACCTTGCAGTTGCTTATGTCAGTACAGTAATGTAGAAAGTTAGCAAAGCCTCCCTCAACTTCATAAAAAGTAGTGTTTAGGCACATTAATTTCATACAGAAAAAGACAACATAGCAAAGTCACAAATAAATCAAGAAAAGGTGGCATAGAGAAACTTGATACTACATTTTTTTCCCTCAAGTCACCTTAGTGCCTAGCTCTGTATTCCTTGCAGATTGTTCTTATAGCAGTCTATGTCTTGTGTCTATATTTTAGTCTTAGCAATATGAGGACTTGGATCCAAAATATGATTCCGTTAATGTAAGAAGCATGACAAAGGTACATCATGTTGCATTTCTATATTACAGTTCCAGTGTCTTGGGAATGCTCATGAAAGTCATTGTTAAAAGTCTCCCATTTCCCTTCTCCACTCACCCCAACTATTTTGCCAGTATTATTATTATTATTGTTATTTATTATTATTACTATTATTATTATTATTTTTAGACCTGGAGAGAGAAGGAAGGAGGGAGAAGAAGGGGCATAGGGAGAAGGGAGAGAGAGAATCTTTTTTTTTTTAATTTTTTTATTGGAGTTCAATTTGCCAACACATAGCATAACACCCAGTGCTCATCCCAAGTAGCCCCCCTCAGTGCCCATCACCCAGTCACTCCAACCCCCCGCCCACCTCCCCTTTAGGAGAGAGAGAATCTTAAGCAAGCTCCATGCTCAGTGCTGAGCCTGATACAGAGCCCAACATGGGGCTGTGAAATCATGACCTGAGCCAAAATCATGAGTTGCACGCTTAATCAACTAAGCCACCCAGACACCCCAATTTTGCCAATATTAAAAAAGGGAAAGAAATGTTTAAAAGTTTCTGTACTGAAACTACTGTGTGGAAGGTACTATTTAGGGCTGTTTACATGATTATTTTTAAAAACAATTCTGGCAGGGAGTAAAAATTTCCTTAGGTTTCAGATGAATGGCCTGCCTCAAAGCTCACAGCTACTGGCACAGGAAGCTGTTTAGTTCACTAGAATATAAGTGCCCATTTTTTTTCAGTAATTATTATGTAGTGGGGCAGTATTGAGTAATGATTTAGTTAGAGGATGGGCTCTGGAACCATTCTGCTTTGGTTCAGATCCCAACTCTACTACTTGCTAGCTATGTGACTTTGGGCAAGGTTCTTAGCTTCCTTTTTTTTTTTAAATTGGTCTTCAATTTGCCAACATATAGAATAACACCCAGTGCTCATCCCATCAAGTGCCCCCCTCAGTGCCCGTCACCCAGTCATCCCCACCCCCTGCCTACCTCCCTTTCTACCACCCCTTGTTCGTTTCCCAGAGTTAGGAGTCTCTCATGTTCTGTCTCCCTTTCTAATATTTCCCACTCATTTTTTCTCCTTTCCCCTTTATTCCCTTTCACTATTTTTTATATTCCCCAAATGAATGAGACCATATAATGTTCTTAGCTTCCTTGTATTTTGTTTTCCTTATCTGGAAAATGTAGGCAATACTACCGACCTAGGGTACTAGGGTTTTTTATGAAGGTTAAGCTAATTGAATCACAAGCAGCATTAAGAACAGTGCCTGATACATAGTAAGCATTCAGTAAGTGTTGTGAATTATGATTATTGCTCCTCCTCCTTCTACCATGTCTATTGCTTGTTATTATAAATCCATATATGTGTAGAAATGAATGAGTATGGCCTGGACTTTTAAGAATACAGTTTTAGGGCAGCCCTGGTGGCTCAGCGGTTGAGCACCTACCTTCGGCCCAGGGCGTGGGCCTGGAGTCCCAGGATCAAGTCCCACATCAGGCTCTCTGCATGGAGCCTGCTCCTCCCTCTGCCTGCCTCTGCCTCTCTCTCTCTGTCTCTCAAGAATAAATAAATAAAATCTTTAAAAGAAATACAGTTTTACCCATAATTGGTCAGCAGTCCAAAGATAATCAGTTTTATTCATACAAAATTTTACAGTTATAGGCTTAGTATAAGTCACTTTAATAATGATTGGATTATTTTCAGCATGCCTGGGACACATGTCAGATTATTTTTCAAGATGGATTCCAAGCTTATGTGCTGGCTGGCTCTGTGTTGGATACCCCATCTTGTTTCCAATCAGGTCGTGCTTCTTAAGCTGAGTAGATAGTTATTACATAAAAGTTCTATAAATTTTGTTTTAGTGATTTATATATAATATGTAATGTAAAATATTATAGAGGACAATTTATTTTAAGATTTGTAAGCTCTGAAGCCTAAAAGCTAACTTACATTATTTTTGTCGTTTTGCCACATTTGGTAGTTTTTTTGTTAATCAGTTATTAAACATGTTTTTTCTATAAGGCACATCTTGTTACTCTTTGTGGTAAAGAAGAAAATCCTGTCTGTACCTTTGATGAAAAGATAGCAGACTGTTTTCAAGATTCAGAACAGCTAGTAGAGAAGATATGGTATCATGTAATAGATGACAGTTTGGTTGTTGGAGTGAAAACCACATCTTTGAAGCTGTAAGTATCATGATAGCATTATCTTGATGGTCTAGAACAGCACTGTCCAACAAAAATATAATGTAAGCTACATAAATAATTTTAAATGTTCTAATTAGCCATGTTAAAAAATATAAATAGAAACAAATGAAATTAATTTTTACAGTTTTATCTCAAACATTATCATTGCTGAGGGATAAACAATGTTTTGTATTAAAAAGCAGATTTTATTCAAATCATTTAGGGGAGTATAAAATGCAGTTTTTACTTTAGAGTCATTTGCGTTCTAAACTATGACCCAAAATAAACTCATTAAAAGTTTAACTCTTGGGGATCTCTGGGTGGCTCAGCAGTTTAGCACCTGCCTTTGGCCCTGGGCATTGATCCTGGAGTCCTGGGATCGAGTCCCACATTGGGCTCCCTGCATGGAGCCTGCTTCTGCCTCTGCCTGTGTCTCTGCCTCTCTCTCTCTCTCTCTCTCTCTCTCTCTCTCTCTCTCTGTCTCTCATGAATAAATAAATAAAATCTTTACAAAAAGTTTAACTCTTTAACTCTTTTTTTCTTTTTTAAAAAAGAAGGGGTAAAAACCTATCTTAAAACCTAGCATTATTTTACCATTCCTTTCTCTTAAGAAAATTATTTTCCTGAAGTTGAGTGTATTTAGTGTTTTTGCTTTCCTATTTCAAGAAAAGTGCTATTACAGGATCTTTAAAAATGTGTTTGGCTTATACACTTGATTCTCTGCTATACTCTATGCTTGAAACGATGTTTATTAGGAAAAGAGAATAAAGTGTTGTTTGTGTAGCATTTAATCATCCTTTTGATTTTAAAGAATGAGGTTTTAGACTCAACTCAACTCTGAATTTTTTACAGGTCCCTGAATCATGTGACTTTATCACTGTTAATGGATCAAGCTCATAGCTCCAGCTGTCGGCTTATTAAATGTCAAAATAGGGTGATCAAGTTGAGTAGAGAATTTTTCCCAGCACCATGCTCAGTGCCATGTGAAATAGGATCAGAATCCAAAAGGATCAAGTTGACTGTTGATAGTGAGGAAGAGGAAAAGGAAGAGGAAAGTTTTGTTTGTGAACAGTCATCTAAGAAAGAGTGTGGACAGGTCATTACTGCTGTCACATCTCTTTCACCACTTTTAGCGTTCAGTAATTTTTGTTGCACCGTGCTGCTACAAATTAGGGAGAGGGAAAATGGTAATTCTTCTGAAGATCATTATATTCAGTGTGGCAGACTTTTTTTAAGTCTAGAAGATCTTTCAAGTAGGCAATACCTGCTGATATTTCCAAAGAAGAAACCTATAGGTAATTTTTGTTGGTACTTTTTAATATACCTAATTGAATTAGAAAATTTTAAGAACTCTTTTTATTTGATAATGAACAGTTAAATGACAGAGCTTGTGACATGTTTTTTTTTTTTTTATAGAACACGTGGAAGATCTCTTTGCACTTCTCACAGCATTTAACAGAACTTGTTTTCAAATCACATCATCCAGCTATTCCCTGACTTCAATGAAGATGTGGCTTCTAGAACACATGAAATGTGAAGTAATCAAAGAATTTCCAGAAATTTGCTTTTGCAAAAGGCCAGGAAGTTTCTATGGGACACTCTTCAAGTGGAAACAAAGAACACCATTTGAAGGGAATTTAATAGTCTATTCCAGGTAATGCATATCAAATTGGAATATGTTTGGAGAACTTAGTGCATATGTGTTTGGTCCAAGAACCATCTCCACAGTAGAGATCTGTGTCACTGTGGGACATGTCCAGGTCATTGCCTGGTATGGCATCAGTGAACAGGTGGCCTCATGTGGAAACTAGAGCTGTTTTAACTTGTTTGTTTTTGATTTTTTGTTGTTGTTGTTAATTAGGGCCTAATAATTATTTTACGATTTCCACTCACCTTTCTCCTACAATGACACTTTTAAAAAATATAATAATCTTATTACTCAGAGAAAAAATTTAATCAGGAAGCAAGTGATGAATGTTAACTGACTTGGTATAGGATATGTACATTTGATTGCTATAGTCTGAATAATATCAGAGATCACATGGATGCATTATTGCTTTTATTCATCATGAGAGGGTTTATAAGTGAGTATTAATTATTACAGTAAGTTGTATACAACTGCTTTGTGCTGTCCTAAGTTTTATAATATTGTGTTTATTTGTTATTTTTTTTCAGGAATCAAACAGCTTTGTTCCAGTGCCTTCATAATCTCATCATAGCTCTCCCTATAAACTGTTTCTTCAAAAACCTAAAATTAGGAAGTGTCGATTTCCTAATTGATCGTTTGGCATTAACTTTGGAGAAGGAATTGGTTACCCTTGGTTCTCTTTCTTCTGCCTTAGTTAAGGTTGGAAACAACTTGGTGCAAAGTTGTGAAGCAAGCAAAGAAAAGAGTAGTGGTGTGGCGGCTTTATCAGACAGAAAGGAAAACATCCATCCCTACAGAAAAGAACTTCAGAGAGAAAAGAAGGAAACGTTGGGGACGAACCTAAAAGTGAGTGGTGCCCTTTATAGAGAAATGACTTTGAAATTAGCTGAGGTTCAGCTGAGATCAGACCTTGCTGCACAGAAACTGGCTGGTTTATACTTATAATCTTAATTTGATTATATTTTAAAATATGTTTTCTCTGCCAGGACATTTTGGTTCCACATTTGTTTTCACTTTATATTATATGCCTCCTTGGCAAAAATAAAGACCGAGGCTTGTAGAATTATAGGTAGCAATACCCAAAATAGCATGCCTTAGAGCAGCAGTTCTCCGCTGGGGACATTTTGCTTTCCTTCTGCCTCCACCCCTACCCGGGGGCATTTGACTGTATCTGGAGGCTTTTTTTTTTTTTTTTTTGGTTGTGAGAAGTAATTGGGGTTGGGGAGGGTAAGGTAGGGTGCTATTTGCATCTAGTGGGTGGAGCCCAGGAATGCTGCTAAACATTCTGCTGTGTGCAAGACAGTTCCCACAGCAAAGAATGATCCTGCCCAAGATGTCAGTAATGCGGAGGTTGAGAAATCCTGCCTTAGAGTTACCACTTGAGTGAAGGCAGAATTGATCTAACATTATTGTGGTCTAAATTTTCAAAAAACTTAAATAGTCTTTTTATTGTATCATATTTAGTAAAACCTAGTATAAAAAAATTAGCTTCAAACAGATAAACAAGGTTGTCAGGATTCACAAGTCTCTGTAAATATGCAGCTCCTGTGGAAATTAATTGCAGAGCATCTGGGTGAGACCATTAAAATGAAAGTCTTTGAGCCCAATTTTAATTTAAATTTTATTAGAGAACTTCTCTGAAATTTTGTAAGTCTATAGGAATATGAAAAATTTTAGGGCATTTCTCTGAAAAGCATATTTCTTTCAATAAGCTAGGCATGCTGCATAGGCCAGTAGTTGAAAATAATTGAAAATGCCTTTAAGCCATTTGTAATTCTAACCCTAGGCAAAGCTAAAATATAGAATTCTAACTAAAATAACTTAAGGAATATGATGCTCCTTAGGGACTGAAAAATTTAAAAATAAGTGAAAATTCACTTAACAGTTAAAAAGTGATTTTTAAGGGGTCCAATGAGACATTTCAAAGGGGTAAAAATTTAACCTATTCTTTTTTTGGAAAAATAAGAATTCTGGAGTAATAGGAGAATGTCAGGAGAGGGGAAGACACAAAAGGATATAGGCCAAAAGGAATGTTTCGGATTCTTTTTGCTTTAAAATCCTTAAGTGAGATGGAAGTTTTGATCTGAGTTGAAAGAAAGAGATGATTATAGAAAGTGGCATTTCATGCTTGCAGCTCTGAAGTGCTAATTCCTTCCATGGCTTCAAAATGCTCGTACCTAATGATCTGGTGATGCAGATGGGGTTTAGAAAATACAGGTTATTATTTTCTTATCTTGCTTTTCATGATTGTCCATATACTATGCTACCTCCTGTTTTAGTAATCCATTACAAATGGAGATAGAACTCTATTTCCTTGAAATGTCAATAGAAAAGATTTCAGACTTTCTGGAAATGGAAATGGTATCATTTCAGGATTAATTATAGAGATCTGGAAGCAGTATGTGTCACTCATTAGGTGCATTGAAACTGTGACATGTTCTGAAAGAACAACCATGTGTAAAATACATTTTAGTTCCTACAGGAACTAAATTGAAAAACAAGGGCAATCAAAAAGTAAATAGAATTTAATTATAATAGTTTATCTGTAGGAAAGTTAGGATAATACAAAAAAGCACGTTGCATTTTTTTTTACCTATAAAGGCAACCAAAAAGTATTAATCTATATACACCAAGTAACCTCTTTGCAAGTGAGTTTTGTACTCCAGTATATTTTTTCTACTTACTACAAACAAGAAAAGCCAAAGTTGGAGGGAATGATGGCCTTGCTACTCTCTCATGATTCAGTAACGTTTGCCCATAAGCACACTCCTCTGACCACTTTCCTCATTATAAATCGGAGCTTACCCTCAAAAACATGCTTCTCTCAAATCCACACTGAAGTGAAAATGAGTTTTGTTTTAGAACAGAGCATACCACAGTTTTCAGGCACAAAACTTTCTGTTGTCCTCCTAATCCCTTAACTAAGGAATGTGTGCAAGTCAGCTTAGGTGTAGTATATATGTACCATTTATTGATTGCCAGCTCTCTGCCAAACAGCTTGAAACACATATACACACAAATATCCATATCAATACATATGTATGGTGACATCCTTCACAGCAACCCATAAAGTATAATTATTAGTATTGTCCCCGGTATGAAAAAAATGTTAGACAATTTAAGGGGGTGCACACAAGCAAGTTAATACTATATACCCTTGTTACAAATATTTTCAAAATGTGCAGATCCTTTTAGAATTCTAATAATATATAAGTGAATCTTTTATTGTCCTGGTAACATCTCTTTATACAATATAAAACTGAACACTCAGTTTTTTCCCAGTCTTAGAAGAGGTCTAATTAATGTATTTCTCTGCCTGTCCTTCCCAATAAAGGCAAAAAAAAAAAGTCAGCTGTCCAGGCTAGAAAGCTATGTAAAACTTACTTCCTCTCTCTCTCTCCTAAAACTTGAACAGCACCAGATACTGAGAGGTATCCTTTCTCTTCCTTATATTCAAACTTGTGGAAACATTACTATCCATTCTAAGAATTTGAAAATGAAAACTATTTCTTAGGTAACCCCATCTGGAGAAAGTTTGGCTTTTACTCTCAAAGCTAGTATGGTGTAATGGAAAGAATGCTGATCCATAAACTGTGTACCTAATTGAATCCTTTGGTTTGTTCTGTTTTCCCTTTTTGAGTTCCCTGGATCTGTTACTTGAATTGCTTTCTGCCTCAGCAAAATAGCCCTGTTCTATAAACCCTTACCGTGTTGAGTATCTTTGCTGTGCCATTGGTCTGGCCACTTTCTGGTTTCTTATTTCAATAATCCTGTCTTGCCTTTTTCTTCAGTAGGGTAGCAGGCACTGTCAGATAGTGAGGGTCATAAGGGCAGGAAGTCAGAGACCTGCTGTGCCCTCGCTGTTCCCATTTTTCCTGAGCTATGCTTGTGAATAGCTACACTGGATAGAAGTGCTTCTGTGCACAACTGAGGTCAACATAATGGTCCTGAGTTCAGCTAGGAAAGTTATTTAGCATCTCAAACTTTATCTTTGCTTCTCCATGTCCTCACAGCAGCCGTCACTTACCCCAAACGTACAAGGAGTGTTATGGGCCAGAAAAGCATGCCATTAGTAATCAGCTAAAACATTTAGCACTACATAGCCAGTCAGAAGTGGGAAAGAAGTGTGATGCATTCTGTTGATTGCCTTTTCCACATTGATTTCTTTCTTTTCTTGAACCTGAACTCTCATTTTGTTCAAGAAACTTCTTTCTACAGCTCACATGATTGGGAAAGTAGAGCCTATCCTCAGTTCCAGAGCTTAGTCCTGAACAGTATGAGCCAGTTACAGTAACACATTTGCTGGCACCTATTACTGGTCTGGGGTGAGCGCCAGACCTAAGTTGGGCCTAATGGGACTGAGGACCTAAAACAACTTCAGATTTTGGTGAGGAAGAGGCTCTTCCTGTCCTGCTGGAAGTAGGTGGCCCTAATTTAAAAATCATGGGAAATTAGGCTTTAGAATGAATCTGACATTATAGCCTACAGAATTGTTTTATTGTGCAGCTATATCAAACCTAAGTCCCACCCTTTCCTGGCACTACTTATTACATCAGGAAAAAAAAATTCCCTCTAACAGAAATCAAGGTTTTCATTAATTGCACCTGAAAACATTGCTCACTGCTAGACATGGGAAAAAGAATCCCAGAGGAAAAAAGTGACTGTTGGACATGTGACCTCCCAGGACAGGAACACTTTACTACAGAAACAGGACGCTTGTACTTATTACTCGGCCTGCCCTGAAAGAAGAGTGGGGAAGAGGTACCTACTCCTTATCCTGCATACACCTTTCCTTTCTGGGCAGTGGCTCCCTGGCTTTCCTGGTTTTTGTTTTTGATTTTTTTTTTAGTTTAAACTCAATTTAGTTTGTAACTGATAGTAGTTTATATCTGAGATAAGCTTTAATTTAAAAGATTCTTTTTTCTCTGCTCCTTAGCTTAGCTTCCCACTCTAAAATTCTCTGAAATGTTTGTTGTTGGTAGGGAATCGCTGTAGTGGAGAGTGGAATTTCAGGAAAAGTTGTAAGCTGTCTAGCCTAGAAAACTTAGATCTTTATTCCATTTGAGTACTATATCACCTGAGAAGAAAGAGAATGGAATTCTATTTTCTTTTTTAACTGTTGCCATGCTCTAATCCTTCCAGATGATGTGCCAATAGAAAACATTTCACCTCTTTCAAAATATCAATGGTATATAAAGTGGAAGGGGTTATGGAGATCTTTCATTCAGTCATGTGTTTATTGATGTTTCGTTGAATACTTTGTCATGCTCAGGTATATAAGCAGGTGCTGGGGATATAAAGATGAATATGAAACATTTTTAGGTTTTAAAGATCTTGAAGTCTTAATTGGAGAGACAGTGACAAAGAGTTGCATGCTATACTGAGATAATTCATACAAGTATACCTAGGGTTCCATGGGAATACCCTTATAGGGCACTGTGCCCATTAGGGGCACCATCTGAGAACAAGAGGTCTTAATTTAGGGAAACAGGACTTTCTGGGAATCTGATGAAAATGAAAACTAAGGGTATTCATGCTGGAGGTAGCTGTGGTTTAAAGTGGTGTTATAACAGAATTTTGCCTGATTCAAGGATCATCTGACAGACCTGTTCATGCCACATAAAGAAAGGTGCAGAGAGAAGTGTATACACAACAAAGATTAAACCAGAACACTTGGTTCAGTAAAAAGCAGTCTAAAATACTTTAAATCATGCAATTTTTAAATACTTATTGATTGAAAAACTGTCTTTATTATATTGGTGAACCCATAATTATACCCAAAACCCTTTGAATTTTTTAATTTTTACTTTTTAAAGGTTTATTTATTAATTTTATTTATTAATTTTAGAGAGAGAGAGAGCACTAGTGGGGTGGGAGGGTGGGAAAGGGCAAAGGAAGAGGAAGAGGGAGAGGGAATCTCAAGCTGACTCCCTGATGTGCACAGAGCCTGATGCAGGTTCGATCCCATAACCCAGAGATCATGACTTGAACCAAAATCAAGAGTTGGACCTTTAACTGACTGAGCCAACCAGGCACCCCTCCAAAACCCTTTTAGAATAAAAAGAACAAAACAAACTTGTTCTGAAAATTAAAATAACATATCCATCTATGTTAAAGCAAATAATTTCCTTAAATTGACTATCTGAATGATTTTGCCTATATTAT